CTATCCCTACAATCACACATACTACTGCCATGCCATCCACCTCCTCTCCCCACCCTACTTAATCCATTTCCAACATCAAAAATTATATCTCTATTGTGTTGAATTTTTTCAACTATTTACTTGGCGTAAACTTTTTCATCCTATTCTTAAAAGTCATGATGTTTATGGCCATATTGATGGTTTTTCTCCAAATCCTTCCCCAATTTTAACTGATGACTCCAATAACTAGATTCCAAATCCAGTGTACAAATCATGGTTGCAGGTTGATTGCATGGTTTTTTCATTGATTCAAGCCACTGTTTCCTCTGACATCCTTCATGCTATTATCAAACCAAATATCACCTCATCTGCTTGTGAAGCTTGGCTCACCTTTGAGCAATTATTCCATGACCAAGTGCATTCACGTGTACTACAATTGAAAAAAATATAGTTTTATCACCATCCCAAGAGTGATATTGCCATGTCTGTGTATCTCCGATAACTCAAATCTATTTTCGAATCGCTTGCCTCTGTCGACAAGTAATAACTGCAAGTAGCGATTGCAAATGGCCAGATTGGATTAGTTAGGATTGATTCAAATTTGTTTGCGTGAAAAATAATCTAATCTATTTTCAATCCGTTTAATAAAATGAGTTATAATGAGTTGGATTATAACGAGATTAATTAAACCTATTAGCCCGTAAAATAATTAAAGCTTTAAATATAAACACATTCTAATCAAATAAAGCACATAAATATTCATATGAATACACTAAAAAATACACACTAATACAACAAAACAAAAACTCTCTGCAGATGATAACAGCCTCATAAGTCATAACAGTTCGGACCATTAAGACTTTCACACAAGCATTGCCTCATCATGTAGTTGAAGACTGAAAAATCTAATTAGTTCCCAGAAAGGACCAAACCCAGAATAAGCTTTTAGCCAAATTAAATGGTCCCTATCTCACACACAAACCAGAGTCCAAACACCTCTGTTTGGAACACATATGATGGATTTCTGCCCTAAGCAGTAAGCACTCTCAAAATTCAAAATTTCAAGGAAGTTTTTTACGAGCTACATCTAACAATCCTTTAATTTCAAGTAAGGTTGAAGATTAATTCTGTTACATTCATATTTTCCAAGTATTTGTAAAACAAATGAAATAAATAGAATAAGAAAAAGAGAAGGATCCGCATCCGCTTTGAGGGAGTGAAAACCTTTGTGGTTCACTTTGAAGGAAATCCAATCTCTATGACCTTTGGATTGACTATTGATTCCATTAAATATTAAAACTTCGTGTTAATTTAATGGTTCCATTAAAACTACATCATTATGTTAGTAAATTAGGTTAGATTTTTAAATTCAAATAAGATTACTCTTTGAGTTTAAACTTTTTTTTAGTAATGTTACTGGAATATAATTTAGTGATCTAATTTGCTGACTTAATGATGTGATTTCAATGGAATCATTAAATCAACACCAAATTTCAATATTTGATGGGATCCATAATCAATCCAAAGGTTATAATAAATTAAGTCAATAAATTAGGTTCTAATAACATTACTCTTAACTTTTAGATTCTATTTAGTTTATGTAATATTTTCTTAAATACACTATAATATTAATTTAATGGTCACAATAAGTATAACATTAATGTCAATAGTAGGATTGTCAATCGCGTTGGTTTAAACGGATGAGGGGTAAAAAACTTGTAAACCCATATACAACCCGTTTAATAAACGGGTGAAAAACATCAACACGAATACGAACTGTTTAAGAAACAGGTACCACGACACGACTCGTTTAATCCGCTTAGTTTTAATTTATTATTATATTTTTCTAGTTGTCACTAAATTAAAAAAAAAAAATGTGGCTATCACCAAAAATAATATATATACTTTCTATGGTTGTCACTAAAAAAAAATTTGCCTAATTTTTTAAATTAATTATTATATTAATTTTATTTAAACGGATAATAAATGTGTTGACCGGACTCATTCGAACATGACCTGTTTATTAAACGTATTTCACGGGTCAACCTTTTTATCACCCGAATCTATTAAGATCACACTCAAATCTCTTTAACTCAGCATCGATTCGTGTCGATTAACCGTAATATATCGAATTTTAACAGGATTACTCAATAGAAACAGATTTAGAATATCTCGGACATGCTGTTTCACTTCTCCACTACACGTCAGCCTAAGTTCACGTGCTGATAAGGCGCGTGACATTTACAATACCGTTTGAACTTTCCGAACCCATTAAATGTCGTGAACGGCATTAAATGGACCCACGATGCCGAACCCATTAAATGTCGATCACTTTCCTACCGCAGCTAACCCCCGAACCAACACACGTAACACAAACTCAATGACCGTCACTTCGAACCTACAGGTAAGCTTTGCTCGTGATTAGGGCTGTTTAGTGGTGATAATTTCTTACGCAATACGAAAATTTAACTTGAACTAAGCAAAAAATTAATGGGTTATGATTGATTATTTTTTAATACGAATTCACAATTAACACGATTTACTAACACAAATAATAAATTATTTGAATTAATGTCAAATAAGAACAATACAAAATTAACTCGATTAGCACATTTAACTAATATTATAAAAATTAAATACTAATTATTTGTTATTGTTTAATAAATACTATAAGTAGCTCGTATTTGAAAGTACGGTACAATGTAAGTGATAAGTGATGTATTTAAGAGGAACAAAATTTTATATGAATGATTTTAAGAGGGATATTAGTAGTCATTGAATGAGTTTATTTGAGACAGTCAAATAAAATTATTTAAAACTCTCGTATTTTATATTATAGAATTGACGCAATTATTATAAAAAAGAGACATTTTTATTCATTAATATTGTTATGCTATTAAGATAATTATTAATTTATAGAAAAGTATAAATATGAATTCAATTAATTGATAATTGAATCTTAAACTTAAATCCTAGCGTTAATTTCTTTATTTGAAATTTATATGGGTCAATACAAATATCAATATGAACTTGATATGAAAATAAATAAATCAATTGGTACGATACGATTAATTAATTAAATTGGATAAAAAATGATTAGTGTTCGACATGAACCCACAATGACATGATATGACGTGATTGTCACCCCTAGGGCTATTAATCAAATCGAGTTACAGGAACTCGATTCGGATTCGATTCATTTAAGTTCGACTCGTTTTTTAAATGATTCGAATTTGAACAATTTTTTAGATTCGTTTAAAGAACCAACCCAACAAATTCGATTCGAACTCGATATACTCGTTTAGATACAAATACCTGGACTCAGTATGAGTTCGTTAAGCGTCAGCAACGAAACTTGATCAATTCCTTAAAAGAAAGGGTTAATTGTAAATTACACCTCGAAAAATTATTTGAATTGAAATTTGTACCTCCAAAGATAAAAAATTTTAAATTGTACTCCCAAAAATAAAAATTTATATCAATGTGCACCTAAAATTAATCGCCGTCAGTTTGCTGTCTAAAATTAAATTGATAAATTATACCTAAATTCCTTCATCTTTGTCACTTAATCACTTGAATTTCTTCACAATTAAAATATTACTCATACATCTCATGACGTTTGTGCACGTGTAACATATAACCATTTTTAGTTGATATCTGTTAATATAACTATTAACAAATATGATTTTAACCTAATAAAAAATTATAATTTCATATTACCCTTTATTTTGTGGGTCCGATATATTCTAAAGTTCAAAATCAAGATTACTATTTGAATGTCTAATAGAATGTAGGTATTTATATAATATTTTTTGTATCAAATGTAATATATCACTTAAACATAATTATTTGAATGCCCAATTGAGGGGACATTTTAGATTGAGAATATTTTTATTAGGATTTTATAACCGTTAAAAAATATGATTTTATCTTAATAAAAATTATAATTTCATATTACCATTTATTTTGTGAAGGGGTTCAAATGATTAAATGACAAACATGAGGGGATTTATGTATAATTTATCAATTTAATTGCAGGTAATAAATTGACGATAGTTTTTTTAGGTGTATATTGATATAAATTTATATTTTTGAGAATGCTAATTATGATTTTTGATCTTTAGAGGTGCACATTGATACAAATTTTTATTTTTGAGGATGTAAATTAAGATTTTTGATCTTTGAAGTACATATTAATATAAATTTTTATTTTTAAGGATATAAATTAAAATTTTTAATTTTTATGAATAAAAAATAAAATTTGAACGATATGTGCAATTTACGATTAACCCTTCAACAAAATAAGTCATTTAGCCAATTAGCCTTGAGATCGTTCGACTATCAGCCATACTCGACACTTGACTGTGATCTCTCTCTCTCTCTTGAAGCTCGGGCTCGTCAAGTTACAGCTTCACTCCGAATCTTTAATTGTCTTGGAGAAAAGTTACCAAAATTTCGAAGTATTCTATTTATATTTGCTGTATAAGGTGTGTACATAATTTGTGAAAACGAAAATTGTCGAAGATCGCGATCCATGTACGAGCGCCGAAACATCTTTATTTGGTCATTCGAGCTGCTGTGCTTCAATCACTCTCCGGTGAAGATTTACGAAGATTTTCATCTGTAAAAAAAAATGAGAGTTGGTTTTCTTTGAAGTTATGCGATGAATTCTTTTCTCTCTCGCGCTATGGAATCTGTGAGTAGAGTCAATGAAGTGGAATTTTGTGAAGATCTCGTTTGATTCGTTGAATTTTTTTAATTATGTTTGTGTAGTTTGGATTAGGGCTTGTAATTTGGAGATCTTTCTTAGACGTACAGTGCACGCTTTGATCTACTGGATTGGTATGATTTCAATTTGATGCTGATGATATTATTTTCACCTGTGCGGTTTTATTCGGAATTTTCAAGTTGAGTGCTTTTTTTGGTTACTTTTCTTGATTGCTCTGATACTGTGTAGGACTTGGTGACAATTGCAGTGGTTGACTTCTAGTTATTGGCGTGGTTGCTGTTTCAACCAAATCATGTCGCAGAGTAATTGGGAAGCTGATAAGATGTACGTGCTGTTATTTCCCTTCCAATTCTGTTTTCCTGTTTTACTCCCTTAGTTTTAAGTGGATTACTCGTTTTTTAACTGGTTTGATGGCTCATGAGATAACGAAGGAAAGGGAAAGTGGAATCTTCCTCTAATTATGCTGTTTTGGTTATCACGGAATGGAAACCTAACGTAATTCTGCTGAGAAGGCCAAAGAAAAAGGGGGAAACGAAATAAAAATAGTTAACAGAATTGGTTGTCTTAGATTCAAACCTGAATTTCTTTCCTTTACCTAGCCAGATTGTGATCTTGGGTTTTTTTTTTTTGGATACCAAAGTTAGTTTAAAGCCAGAATCCTGTGACATTTATTTGTGTTTTCTGTTTTTTTTTTCAGGCTTGATGTTTACATTCATGACTATCTATTGAAAAGAAAACTACATGCTTCTGCAAAAGCCTTCATGACTGAAGGGAAGGTTGCCCCAGACCCAGTAGGTAATATTGTCAGTTGACTTTTTTGTATATTGTATCAGGGTTAATTGACTTTTAAATAACCATAAATATTTTTTTCCCAGCCAGTTGATTAAGAATTCTTTATAAGTAAAACCTTTTCGGCAGAATACTGCATGGAGATATACATTCCATCAAACCTTTAGTTTGAATTTTCAGCTATTGATGCGCCTGGAGGATTTCTCTTGAATGGTGGTCCGTCTTTTGGGACATCTTCATTGCTAGGACAAATGAAAAACATTCTGAGGCTGCTGCGGCTTACATAGAGGTCCCTCTAAGCTTTAGATTTTTTGGGCTATTTGTGGATTAGTGTTTTTAGGACTTCTCTCTCCCCCTCCCCTTCCTTTCTTGGTGAGATGAGGTTAATGTTTGCAATTTGTTTTTGGCTTTATAATTTAATATCAGACACAACAAGTGAAAGCAAGGGAGCATCAACAACAGCTGCAAATGCAGCAATTGCAACTTATGCAGCAGCACAATGCTCAATTGCAAAAAAGGGATCCTAACCATCCTTCACTTGGTGGTCCTATGAATGCTATGAACTCCGAAGGAATGATGGGGCAGCCATCAGCCAGTGTACTGGCCATGAAAATGTACAAGGAGCGAATGAAACATCCTCAGTCAATGGATTCAGAGACATCTTCAGTTTCTAATGGATGCCAATAGGATGGCCATTCTCAAGTCAGCAACTAATCATCAAGGGTAACTGCCATACAACTTTTTTGTGTTCTTGATATCAAATAAACCACGGCCAGTCAACCTATTATGATTGCATCATTGGTTGCTTTTGGTCTTCTTATCGATTCAGCCAGTTCGTACAAGGCAACTCTGGGAGCATGTCTGCTGCTCTGCAGCAAATGCAAGGACGATCTCAATTGACCACCGTAACTACTTCCCCTATGTGTTCTATATATGCTATTTATGTATTTGCTCCATCTTTCCTTTATTTTACCATGCTTGGGCATGCTATTTTTAAATTTGTAGGATGTTAAAGCCGAAGTGAACTTGGGTGCAACTAAGAAATCTTTGCCTATGGATCCTTCATCAATATATGGGCAAACAATTTTGCAGTCAAAGTCTGGACTGGGCGGTGCAGGTAACATTATTAATCTTCCACAATTAATCAATTTACTAGTTTAACAAAATGTTATTTCGTTATGAGCAGGAATATGAATTCTTATTTTCTGTGTTTATTGAGGATTTCTGTATGTGAATTTAAGTTGCAAGTTATTCCTTTTCAATTTCCTTTTATGCTCTTCTTCATAAATTATGGGAACAAAATCTATCTATGGGAACAAAATCTATCTATAAGAACAAAATCTAGCCATTTGTTGACACTGGTTTGAGTTCATACGACCATCTCTCTCAGTCACTAAGTGTGCTCCTATTGGAAGAAGATCTGCATTTGCGAAGCACTCGATCATACCTTAAAAAAATCTGGTCTGTCGACCATGGCTTCATAAGATCTAGGGTGCTCCTGGTAGGAAGCTGAAGAAAAGCTCGAATCCAGATGAAGAAGAGATCAGGAGGGAGAGCTTTGAGAACAAGAGCCAATAGGTCTGGTTAACGGGACCTTGCCTCTTCTGGGAACTAGCCCTAATCGATTAACTTGTTGCATTCCTGATATTAGTCAACATTGTTGAAAAGACGACTCAGATTCAAACACCCTTGTTTTCTTCTTATTGATGTCATTGTACACGTCTGGTCACCAATGACGTTTTTTATTTCTTTTGCTGCCCTTTATTAAGGCCATAGATGTGTTCACATTTCTATATGACCTATTAACCCCTATA